ACCTCAGGCAAGGTGGGGGCTGAGTGCCGAGGAGCCGGGCAGTGGGGGGGATTCCCCGACCCCGCCCCGGGCTGCTCACGTCGATTCCGGGGCTGGGTTACCGCTCTCCAAAGGGCGCGGCACTGCAGCTCTGGCGTGCGCTTGGTGGGGGTGGGGGGTCCCGCGCCCTGGGTCTGGAAGCCGTTAGCCAGTGGGCAAGTGGTATGCGGCCGCGCTGGACTGGTGAGGGCGTGAGGCTTGGACCTAAAACTCGCGGGGGAGTAGGTGTGCAGGAGCCAGCGCCCTGGGCGCGCCGGAGCAGGACGTGGGGCAGGGCGCGTGGGACTTGGCACTGTAACCGCCACTGCCCAGAAAGCTCGCCCTACCCTCCGCGCCCTCTCCCTCAAGGGCACTCACGGATTCTCCGGAGCCCTGGAACGAGGCTCTGGAACCTGTGTGTCCTCCTGGTGTCCGGCTCTCTACCTGGAGTCCTCCTCCCAGTCTCCTCCTGATCCCGCCCTCCCGCATTGAGTAGTTAGGTTTATTTGTAAATAAATATCTTGGAGACCCAAAGGTCAGAGGGTCATTTCCTGCAGTAATATCCTCCTGAGATCACTGATGCCAAATTCGGTGGTCTGTGGCCACTTTTATCGTGTCTGTAAAGTACTCAAATGACGCCAACCCCTTCCTCGGAAAAGTGACTGTAACCTTCTATCTCCATCTGTTTTACACTCCCCGAAGCCAGTTTTTCTAGGACAATCTCGCAAAAGCTGTCTGCACTCATCTTCCAGCGGAGCCACAGTACCCGAGGCTCTTCTTCACCTGTGAGAATGACTCAGAACACCGTGTTCAGAAGCACTTTACAAATTCGTGGAGTGTGAAATCATAACGCACTGGATTTATAGACTGCAACATGTATATCCCAATCAATGGTGATTTTCACCGATGTAGCATTTGATCGCTTTGACACACTGACTTGCTCTCAGAGCATTCCTTCTTGGCTGCATTTCATAGTTGAACATTCACTACAAGAGAAGCTAAGTAACCTACTCTTGGCCACAAGACTGTTAACAAAGAACTTTTGAGCTCCCTGACTCCTGGTTTTCCGGTTCAAATACCAAATGATTTTTTCTCATCCTCTCTCCTGCCTCCTAACAGCATATTATTGTATGTAGTACATGGTACTGACTGTCATCAATGAGGATATGTTTTGAAATAACTGAGATAAACTACCAAATTTTATTCAATTTTCCCTTTATGAACATGGGCAGCAAGAAGTTTGCTCTCTCTCTCTCTCTCTCTCTGTGTGTGTGTGTGTGTGTGTGTGTGTGTGTGTTTATCAACTCTATGTCTCAGATGTTTTAGCCAGAAATTGGTTTGGTTAGAAAGCAGTAAACGAAGATGGTAGGACAAAAGGAATCTAGGAATGCTGTGTCACAAATGGTTTCAGATGAAATTGTTCCAAGAATGTCTTCTACCACTTAGCCCCCTCAAGACTAGTTTATTTTTGGTAGCTGAGTGACAGGCGGGAAACACATTTTTAAAATAATATTCCCTGAATACCCTAGGAAGTGATCCCACTGAAGACATGGGGTTGTAGATAAGCTTCCATTTGCAGCCTTCACTTGTCAAAACGACATTGCACAAATCTGTGCATTGTCACAGTCTTAAGATAATCATAAACCTTGATCATGAATTCTCAGGTTAAAAGGTGCACACGATCCCAAAAATTCAATTATGAACAGTAAATTTCTACCAGTCAGGTGTGACAAAGTATGTTATGGTTTGTAGGACAACATCAAAGCTGAGAGTTCTGTATAAACAAAGAATGATTCAGTCCGCAAAGTAGCATGGATGAAAGAGGAAAATGCCACAGTGCTGGATGCATCCTGTCAGTTGATGGGTTCTGAAAAATAAATAGCCAGGAGAGGAGAAAAATTAAATTTGTTTGATATGCTGGATAGCCACATAAAGGCAATACTTTCTCTGCTTCAGTGACCTCCAGTGCTGAAAAAGAATGACAAACTAGTCTATGATCTTGATCTTGAGTTAACCCAGAGAATTGTCAGTGGATCAAGAGAAAACATCGTCTTTGTAACTTTGACTATCTCCTCTGTCATAAAAATGTAGAGTAATAGAAGAGAAAGGATGACTCACTCTCAGCTGCTGGTACCCAAGTAGAAGAGATGATGGAGACCTGGTCATCAGATACAGGCTGGCAGGACACAGGCACCAACTGAATGCTCATGCATAAAAGCCCAGGAACAGTGCATTAAAAAAATTAATAAATAAATGAGGCCTGAGGTAATTCTGTGTATTTGAGCAAATATTGAAAGCTCATCAAATCAGCTTCAGCCTAAACAAATAAGGAAAAATACATAAATAGTCCAAAAATGCTGAAAAAGTCTCCGTTCCCATGCCCTTACCCCACGTCCTAACTACCCACACACACCACAATTCAATGTAAAGAAGCAAAAATCCTAACACTGGAACAATAAACCACATCATGATAAACACAAGAAAAGATTGAAATTGGAAAGGGTTTCATCTGACTTGGATCCACAATCAACACTCATGGATGGGGCAATCAAGAAATTAAAAGACAGCAGAAGACTTCTTAAAAATGTGAACGAGCAAAGATGTCACATTGAGGACTAAGGTCAACCTGACCTAAACCATAGTATTTATGTAGTCAATGGAGATGGATACCATGTTTGGTAAGGTGGAGATTCAGAGAAAAAGAGGAAGACCCCCACCGAGATGGATTGACCAAGTGGCAGTACCAATGGACTCAAGCGTGGCAATAGTAGTGAGGTTGGCCCAGGATCGGGCAGTGTTTCATTCTGTGCATAAGGTTGCTTTGAGTTGGTACCAACTCGATGGCACCTAATAACACCAACAACATATGCATTTGAAGACTACAGAAGAACTGACCCCTTTGGCTTATGGTGTTGATGAAGAATACTGAAAGTACCTTGGACAACTGCTAGAAGAATAACAAATTTCTCTCAGAGGAAGTTCAGCCAGAGAATGCTCCTTAGAAACAAGAATACCAAGACTTCATCTTATGTACTTTGGACATGTTATCCAGAGGGACCAAAACCTGGAAAAGGATTGGTAAAGTAGAAATCACTGAAAAGGAGGAACACCCCCACCCCCGCAATGACATGAATTGACATTGTAATTGCAGCATTGGCTTCAAACCTAACAGTTGTGAGGATGGCACAGGGTTGACCAGTGTTTCCGCTGTGAGTCAGAGCTGACTTAACAATACCCAATAATAACAACATGCAGACTGAATAAGAGTGAAAGGACATGCACATTTCCTGATTTTCAGCCACAGAGTTTCTGCTTACTCTGTTCAAACAACTGCTTCTTGGTCTGTGTACAGGTTCTACATGAGTGCAAGTGTTCTGGAATTCCTATTCTTCACAGAGTTGTCCTGAATTGTTGAGATCCACACAGTGAAGGCCTTTGCTTAGTTAATAAAACACAAGGAATGCTCTGTTTTCAGCTAAGATCCATCTTTCATGAGCAATGATAACCCTCATCCCAAGTTCTTGTCTGAACCCAGCTTGAATTTCTGACAGCTCCCTATAGATGTACTGCTATAACTCTTTTTGACTCTTCTTCAGCAAAATTTTATTGAATGTGATATTAATGATCTTAATTCCATTAGATCACTTTTTTTTCTAAAGGGCACAAATACAGATCTCCTCCAGTTGGTTGGCCAGGTAGCTGTCTTCCAAATTTCTTGGCATAGATTAGTGAGTGCATCCAGCATGGCATAAATGTGATGAAACATTTCAGTTGGTAGTCTGTCAGTTCCTGGAACCTTGCTTTTCACTAATGCCTTCGGTGCAGCTTGGACTTCCTCCAGTACTGTCGATTGTTTGTCGTATGTTATCTCTTGAAATGGCTGATCATTGGTCCATTCCTTTTGGTACAATCACTGTGTCAGCCTTTCATCTTTTTTTTGATGCTTAGTTCAATATTTTGCCCATAGGATCTTTCATCATGGTAACTGGAGGCTTGAATTTTTTTGCAGTTCTTTCAGCTTGAGAAATGTTGAGCATTTTCTTCCCTTTTGATTTTCTAACTTCAGGTCTTTACATGTTTCATTATAACACTTGACTTTGTCTTCTCAAGCTGTCATTTGAAGTTTTCTGTTCAAGTTTTTTATTTCATAATTTCTTTTGTCCATTTTAGTTTATCTTCTAAAGTCAATTTCAGAGTCTCTTCTGATATACATTTTAGTGTTTTCTTTCTTTCCTGTCTTTTTCAAGACCTTTTGCTTTCTTCATGTATGAAGTCCTTGATATCATTCCACAACTCATCTTTGTTTTTTAGCATTAGTGTCCAACACATCAAATCTGTTTTTGAGATGTTCTCTAAATTTGGGTGGCATATGCTCATATGCACGTGGAAATTGGACACTGAATAAGGAAAACCATAGAAGAATTGATGCATTTGAGTTATGGTATTAGAGGAGAATATTGAAAGTACCATGGGATGCCAAAAGAAC